AGGCTAGACTGCGTGTGTGTTGCTCACGGACTCGTTGCTCACAAGAGGAGTCAACCAAGCATTTCTAATGACTTCTTTACAAGGATTTTACATGGATGGAAATTGTACGTATGAATACGACTAATCTCAGTAGGAATATCTCGGGAGATATCCAGTAACAATTTGGTACATTTTGTTACATTGTTTTTGGTTGTGAGAAAAATCCTATTATCACAGGAATTGAGCCTAGAACCCTGGGATTGCAAGGCAATCATCTTAACCACCAAGCTTTTCAACTCAACTCCCACTGTACTGAATATTATTTTAAGTGCAACTATAGCTTAGCGCCTAAATGTGCTAACTTTTAAATACCACAATCCTGTATTACACCAAGTTCAAATCCTTTTAAAGACACTTTATCATGACTAAAAATACCTCCACAACTTATACGTCTACGAACTAAATATCACATCATAAGAGCAGTTGGTACTGTGGTTGAGGCTCAGGCGTTAGGTGAGAATTTTTTATTCCTTGTTTAGTTTTTATTAAAGATTATCGGAGGAGGGCGAAATAAAAATAAAAATAAAATTTTGATTTCTTATTTAGCAAATAGATCTGCCAAAATCATCCAGACGGAGGAGAAAATAAAAATAAAATTTTACTGGTGAATGTAATATAGGAATGTTCAATGTTTCAGATTCATATAATTAGGAAGAAGTATACATATTTTTTCTTTGGCGATTTCAAGGCAGCAGAAGGCGTAATAAAAATAAAGAAATAAATTTTTTTTCCCTGAAATTTCCACTTTTTTTTGTGGCGGCACGCCACAAAAATAAAATTTTATTTTTATTCAAAATCATCAAAATTTGCAGTCGGCTGGTTCGCTAAACAAGGTATAAAAAAAGTCTTGCATTAAAGTTAGGGGTTTGAATACATCGCTATGGCAGCATTTCACTTTTGTCTTTGTGCAAAGAAACTTTTTCTTGGTTTGTCTCCCCCCAGTGAAGTATTGAATGTTACAATTTGTATCAGTTAGCCAACTTCAGTATCTAACAGTCAAGGGTAATAAAATTGGAAGAGTTTTTAGTACTTGCTTTGATTTGTTTAATGGCCAGTTAGCCAATTTAAGGATAAAACACACAAGGGTTATTACTGAAAGAAATTTAATACTCTTGAATTGAATAAGGACCTACATAAATACCGGATACATATATTTATTATTGTTATTATTAGTTTCATCCTGTATATGACGAGTTCTATGTCCTGCTGTTGGATGAGACCCCATAGCAAATACAGTAGCAGCCTTTAATAAACTTTAATAGATATATTTATTACTGGAATGCAATAGTGATACAAATTATTTTATACATAAAAACAGATAACCTGCTAGTAAGTATTGTAGATGATGATCAGATTAAGCACTGTAGACTTGATAGATATGTTAGATGCTTAACTTACATAAAAAATAGATGAATAATAATAAATCTATTTTATTACCGGTAGGCACTAATAGATTTATTATTATGGCTAAATACTAACCATTTTAAAGATTCTACTAGTTGCATATATAAAACAGATAATCTGCTAAGAAATACTGTAGATACAGGTGCTGCAGATTTGATAGATTTGTTCTAAGTATGTAACATACGTAAAGATAGACAAATAATAGATTCATAATAGAAAAATAGTCCTTAGTAGACTTCCAGCACAGAGAACATGAGGATGTCCAGATACTAGGGAGCTTTTGATTTTCGAGATGACTCTCAAATGGATTTACTCATCCATGACCGTCCTGCATTCCCTCCACTACTTAGATTCGGCTAAACTGTATTCTAGAATCCACTAAGCTTAACGTTCTTGAATGCGCAGATGACTTCTTAGACTTATTACGCTCTAGGTCCTACTGTAGTACTCCCTATTATGCTTTGTAGACATGCAGTGCATGGCCATAAACTACAGTATGATTCATTCATTTATTAGACAAAAAAGTGCACAAAACAATTTAGAAAGTTAAAACAACAGAATAACAAGAAAATTGTAAAATAACCTAAGATGGCTACTAGGATCGATGATAGTGATGAACACTTTAGCTCAAAAGCCCTTCAACCCTGTCTTAAGAAATTATAGAAAATATAAATAACGGAGACAATTTGTGGATATGGCAATTTCAAGTGACTTGACCAAGGAAACCAACAAGTGACCAGCCTCATATTCGAACCTATAACCTTCTGATTAAAAGTCCCAGCCAGACAACTGTGTCACATGATTCCACAGTAGAAAGATCAGTACAGGAATCTGCATTCTGGGAGGATATCAAGATGTCTTTTTCTCTCCCAAGAAATACTGATAAAATACAAGACAATGGAAGAAAATATATTGTTCTTCTGAAAGCAGAACTGAAGAGTGGTAAATACTATGTTACAATAGAAATTCATACGTGCTTAGTACCATACTCAGTCTGTTACCAACGCACGGATTGTACATAACAGATGATATACTGTAAGCATATACCAGTAACACGCGCCAGCACATCCACATATCTACTGCATACAGTAGACATGTAAGCGCTACTGATTGAGTGACAAGTGACAATTTCAACACATGATATGTCAATACAGTCAGTAGACAAGTGACACTTATAGTGACATTGATATGATTTTGAAATGTTGATCATAGTTTGAAGAAGTTGTGTTCTTTGAACTTTTTTTTTTCCCCCGAACACAAATGAAAGCTGAGTTGATAAGATAAATGACTCATCCCATTAAAAGAACGAACACCGCGTTTAGTGCTACTCAGCGGTGGATTTACATGAGGGGGCGTAAGGGGTATGCCTCTTTTTCCCATCAGGATTAAGCTTTTATTTACACGTTCAATGTCCTTTTAATATCATTAAGCTTGCAATATTTATCAGGCAAAATTACATTTTAAAGCACTTTGCATTAAATGCAAGCCTTCTGTAATTAAAAAAATATTTCTGGCGACCCATACAGCATAACAAGCCCACGAAACTCAACATCTGAATATTGAACATTTATCTTAAGCCCTGTTCACACTATCAAATTTTCTTTGACAAAAACCTATGTGATAAGTCTATATATGGTGATGATGTGATGTCATCATGACCATATTTAGGCATGTCACCTATTTTTCTCAAATAAAATGTTATAGTCTAGACAGGGCTTTACAGAGGAAAACAAGAAAAAAATATGTGATATATTGAATCAAACTATTGATAATCAAATCTTTAAAGAAATAAATTAATCTCATAGTTTTAAACATGTACGAACATTGCAGCCAATTGGGATTAGTAAGACTAGGATGTTTATATCTTCAATAGGCTCAATATTGTCACAGAATGAATTATGATGTCAGATTTTGACAGGATAATTTGTATGCTTATGAATGCTGAGGACAACTACAGTAATTGCATGGATGGTTTTATTTATAAATAAAAATTAAGATTTTAAATTTAATTTTATTCTAGGAAATAATACAATGATATCATTTCCTCCTTCCTTGTTTTCCTCCAGATAAAAACACTCAAAGCCTAACCTGATCCTCTCAATCGTCTACTTAGAGTAGGAAGGCTAGATGAGCGGGCTAAATTGAAGAAAAATCCTGTTGAAAAAATTGATTGAAAAGGAAAAAAAAAAAGAGGTAAATAAAAATAAAAAACATAATGAAACTTCTAGGACGATTGAAAAAAAAAAATTAAATTTGTCCTTGTTGCTTCACTTCACTTCATTTGATAGTTTAAAACCATGAGTCATAAGATGTAAACACATACTTCCTCTAAAGAGTTAACA